TGGTTTTGATGTTGTTATGTGTTATTTGAGGCCTCGAGTAGATCCATTTTATGTTTTGAGACTTGTTGGTATGTTCGGAAGGGGTCCCGAGGGGCTCCGGTGAGATGCAAATGTGTTTCGGATCATTTTTCATTCGTGTGTGATGGCTGGTCTTTGCGGGATTTGATGTGGTCGCACCTGTGGGGTAATGGGCGCAGGTGCGGTGGCCGTAGATGCGGTCATATGGGCGCAGAATCGAAGCAAGGCTGGATGAGGGAAGACCGCAGAAGCGGAAAGCTGAGCGCATCTGCGCGTCCGTAGGAGCGGGAATTTGATCGCAAAAGCGGATGGCAACTTGGTTGGGAGTTTGCGCAGAAGCGGGCCTTAGCCTCACACCTGTGATTGCGCAGAAGCGAAACAGTGTCCGCAGGTGCGAGAGTTCGGCTGGTTAGTGGAGTCCACAGAAGAGGAGCTTGTATAGCAGAAGCGATGCCGCAAAAGCGGCTAATATTATCGTAGATGCGAAGGTGCCTAGGCAGAAGCTATATTATCGAGGGCTTGGTTATTTTATTAACATTTTGAGTTGGGGAGCTCGGATTTGGGCGATTTTCACTACATGGATTGGGACAAGTGTTTTCTACTCAATTTTGGTTATATTTCATGAATCTATCTTCGATTTTGGCATTTGGATTATGAATTTTAAAGAGAAATTGGAGGGGTTTGTCTATACTTTCCTAAAGTATATTTTTGAGTTTTGAACATCGATTCAGAGTCAGATTTGAGTGAAATTAGTACGGTTGGACTCATAATTAAATGGGTTGTCAGATTTTATGAGTTTTATCGGGTTCTGAGGTGCGAGCCCGAGTTTGGCTTTTTTGGTTGACTTTGAGTAAACAAATAAAGATTCGACCTTTATCATTTTGGGATTATTTACTTAGGCATTATTTGATATTTTTGAGTTGCATTTAGCTAGTTTCGAACCGCTCAGAGGTTGATACGCGCGGGATGGCATTTCTAAAGTATTGTTTGGCTTGCTTGGTATTGTTTTGGCTTGTTTGAGGTATGTATCTTAACTAAACTTGGTTAAGGCACTGGTTGCCTCATTTATTTGTGATAGCTACGTGCTATGGATGCGCACATATGTGGGGTTTGAGCCATGTGCTAACACCGAGGGTATTTATCCATGCTCGGGTTATGCTTAGGCTATGATAAACCTAGAATTAACTGTTAAGCTTTAAGCTATGATGTTTCTCATATTTGTAACATTGTGTGAACTATTTTGAGCCATGTTTGAGGCTACATAGAGGTTTGATCCCTGAATAAACTTGATAAATGCTACACTGTGATGAAATTGCCGATTTGAGTTATGATAGCACACTTTGCACATGCCTACACTTTAGTATGTCATTTATAGCAGTCCAGGAGCATGAGAGTTTTTATTCATTCATCACATACATGTATTCTTGTTTATTTGTTCATGTGTGATATGATTAGACCGGATGCCTGTGACCACGCCGGGCGAATTGTATTGTTATGCCTGTGACCACGCCGGTGGATTTTGTTGTTATGGCTGTGATCACGCCGGGCAAATTGTGTTGTTATGCATGGGGACACGCCGGGCGAATTGTGATGTTATGCATGTGACCACACCGGGCAGATTGTGTAGATATGCATGTGACCACGTCGGGCGGATGGTGATGATATGCCTGTGACCACGCCGGGCAGATGGTGATGATATGCCCGTGACCACGCCGGGCAGATTATGATATTGAGCCTGTGACCACGCCGGACTGGTAGCATGTTGAATTGACCGTGCTTGCGTCTGGATAAAGATCTATCCCCCTAGGGTCACCCTCTCATGTTTCTCTCTTGATGGTGTACCCGCGGATTGTGAGAAATCGACTGTTTTCTTGTTTATGTAAGCTTTGGGAGAGTTGGTTACTGTTATTGGATCGGGTTGTGCGCCGAAACGGACTGATATTTGGTTATTGCATTTCATCTTTACGTGTAATTTCCTTGACTATTTACCTGATTTACTTGCATATCTTCCTTATATGCTGGATTGTTGACTGAGCAGAATACTTTAAAATAAAGAATTGTGAGCATCAAAGTAATTTTACCTAAGATTTCTTGATTTGATCATATATTTATTTTATGCTTGTTGAAATTATGAACTGCACTGGTGTTAGTGAGTATCATCTATAATTCTTGCTTCTTTTACCTCACCGAGGTTAGTTAGGATACTTATTGAGTACATGGGGTCGGTTATACTTATACTACACTTCTGCACCTTGCGTGCAGATCTTGAAATTGTTGTTGTTGTATATGGTAGGAGGTGGCATTGAAGAGGTACCTGCGTTCCAGATATGGCTATCACTTGTCCTTGGTAACTTTAGATTCCAATTCTGTTCATGTAAAATCCAAACAAATGTTGTAATTATTTCAGTTAAGTTTTTTTGTAAAATCTAAGTCTTAGTAGCTCATGACTTATACTACCGGTCCTTGGGGAGTTGTATAAAAATTCAGTTACTTCATTTTTTACTCTTATCATTATCACTATATTGTATTTTATTATTATTTAGCTTACCTAGCGGGTTGGATTAGGTACCATCATGATGAGTTGAATTTTGGATCGTGACAATTAAATCCACATTCAAATTCAAAATTGCCAGTCATGATCAAGATTTAAGCCCTTGAATTCAAATTCAATCAAGATCAAATCCATTAAATTCAAGATAAATTCTCAAAGTCACTTGAATTTAGTTTTTGCAACGTAGAATAAAAAGAACTATAGAGATTTTAATAGTCACAATACTTGGGATAAAATACTACAATTGTTATAATATTTTGTAGTATTGATTATTTTCTTGATGCGAATGTATTGTCTTTATATTTTGATGGTATTTATTAAATTAATAGAGTAATGTTTTGGCAATAATACTTTTTATTTTGATCTACTACTCCCTCCATCTCAAAAAAAGATGATATTTTTCGAATTTTAATAGTTAAACTTTTCTACTTTGACCATAAATTTGAACATAGAATCTTTAAATATTTTTAAATAAAATTATATATATTTAAAAAAAAACATAACAAGTACTATAAATCATAATAATTAATAATTCAAAATATTTAAAAAGTATATAAAAAGTTATGGTAAAAATAAATTATTTGACTCTCGAAATCCGAAAAGTATAATATTTTGACCAAAAAGTTTACAAAAATAATTTAGGGTCTCAAGATTTTTCATTTGCTCTACTATTAAAGTAAAGTCGTTCGCAAAAAATAAATGCAACTTGTCTGATATTATAGATAATATTTTCATTCATTTTACTACTATTAATAAGCGATAATGTTGAGGAGCTTCCGGTCAATGTGAATTGACCAAAAACCCCAGTCACGAATAATCAGGTTACTCTCCGTTAGAGGGTAATTATGTCGTTCCAAACATATCTATGTGCAGGAAAAGTAGGCCCCACTTGAAATTTTCTTCCACGCGCTCAATTTGCAGAGATCTTCAAACCACTACTACTATCTGGGTCCCACTTGAATAAGTGGGTCTCTCGAGACAAATACGGCACCTTTTCAGATGTCAACTCATGTGAGATTATTTTGCCCCTTATTTAGATCTTTATACTACTTTTTATTATCTTTACACATTTAAGTAAATTTAACAATGTGAAACGATTCTCCAACAAATCATTTGCCCTTAGCTTGCACAACTAAAAACTTTTGTATTTTTTTGGGCTGAATTAGTTCAAAGATATTTTTATATGGTGTGATATTGTGTGTTTTAAATTAAGTCGTACGGATTTTTTTAGAAAACTTTACACAATAAAGAGATTTTGATATTTTATATGTAACTTTCTGGTCTTTTGAACTAGCAAGTGAGACGTAATTTAAACACCCAATATATTCATATAGTACCTATTTACTCCCTCAGTCCTATTTGAAAATATTATGAGAAAATTGTTATGCGTATTATCTTTTATCTAATTTATTATAAAATAATTTTATTTTAAAAAGATTAAGGAATCAATATTCAGGTGGAGCTAGATAATTAAAAGTTTCGATGGTCATATTTTGAACTCCTACATCTTTTGGAAACAACAAGTGTCAAAATATTTGATTATTAATTGTTAAACTATAAACGTTTATAATAACTCGATTTATTATATCATAATGGGGTATACCCTGATTTTGAAGATAAGAAGTACATCATTTTGTAGAATATATGGTACTCTTAATTTAAAAACTAAATGTATCTTTCTGCTCCCTTCTTTTTATGTATTTGCTGAATTTTGATTCAGAAAATCAAATAGGTTTAGGTGAATGCTCAAGCTCTACAACATATTACTCTTTGATGGTTTGCCTTGGATGTGTGCAAAGCTAATCCGCGATGCAAATATCAAATGTTCCATTTGATATTGTCATTACACCTTTATTTACAATAGTATAATTTTTATATCTCACTTTAATACTTGCAAACAACATGTCAACAACAAAGAATTTAAAAGATTTGTAAGTCATCCTAACTAGGAAAATTTCACAAAATGTTACAGTAAAAATCGAAAAGATAATATAATAGTATATAATAAAACATATCTCCACTAGTAAAATAAATATGTAAGGAGGCATTATATCTCCTTGCCTAATATCTCCGTGTAGTATTTGGTGCACACATATATCCTTTTTCCCATTGGTGATTAAGTAACACTATAAATAAAAGAGAAACAAACAAATGGGAAGTAGTTTTAGATGGAACGAGTTGGATTTTAAGTCTATCTCCTCTTACATACATTAATCTATTTTGGACCTGTTCAAATCCAGCTAAACCGGGCGTTTGACCTGAAATTAAAGAATATCCACGTTTGAGTAGAGGCTGCAAGTTGAAGAAAACAAATGTCGTTGAGTTACAGATAAAGAACGAGTCTTGTCTCCATCTTTAATTTTCGGCTGAGCTGAAAATCCTCCAAATCACTAGTGACGGTGTCCTTCTCTGTCACTCTTATCTNAATTCAGGAGCTGTGTTTCTTTTGCTTTTTTTTTTTTTTATTACTCAATTACATGAATAGCTAATATTGATACACTTGAAGAAGGAGGTTGTCTTGATTGAAAATTTCCTTTCTGTATATGTTGGTTAACAAAAAAGGATTTGCCTTTTGTAATAGGGCTAATGGATCGATGCTACTGGAGCTGGTTTTACCTTTTAGCCATTGATTTATCTTTGTCTAAGCTAATTATTTTGCTTTTCTTGAATACTTCTGTATGTGTAAGGTGTTATTAATTTAATATAATTGAGACGTTTCTTTTAAAATGTGTTTTAATTCAGATAGGTGAATTTTCTGAGTGATATGTGAAATTATGTAGCTGGTAACCACCAGCCGTCTTAACCAGTAATTATTTATGATGTTAGTTTCTAATTCTAATGGGCTGTATGGGCAATTTAAGATCTGATTGTCATACAAATTTTTTTAATCAAAGAATCTATTAGCTCTTTGCAATAGCGATGTAGGTGTTGTAAATTGATAATTGGGATGTAATTGTCGATTTTGTTCCTTTTTTTTTTTTAATATTTATTTTGCATCCTCACCCCCTCCTTTTTGACTTTTAAGGGAGTTGTTGGGGGGTTTTGGTACAGGGATTTTGGCTGGTGCTATGGTGGGTAGGGTAACTTAACACTTCTCTTTTGATCTCTATCGACCTGCAGAGGCGGATCCAGAATTTAAACTATATAGATTCAACTTTAATGGTTTTAACATTGAACCCATTATATTTTTAAAATTATGGATTCATGTCTATTTCAGTGAATTTTTAAAGATAAATTTATACTCCGCGTCGAAAGTTATGAGTTCAATTAAACCAGTCACTGCAATACTACATCTGACCCTGTTGGCATGCCTTACTTTTGCTTTGTTCATGTGAGAGGAGTATGTGCGAGGCAGTGGCCGAGTTGTCTACTAATTGCTCTCTTATTTTTGGTTTGTTTGCGTTTTGAAGCATTTGTTCACAAATTTTCTGTTGTTGTTAATGTTGAAAGGCTTTGGTTTTGCTATTGGGGAGAATATCTTCTTCATAGAGTGCAGATGAAGTAACTATATATGACTCGTTGTATGATCTAGGGCAGGTGATTCTTTGCTTGGAGCCTTGTACAGGATGGAAGTAACAGGAGGTTGAGACCTTTAAATTCTATGGCATTGGAAGGTATTCCTTCAATTTTTTTATTTTTTTAAAAATAAATCTGTGTCTTTATACTGAGTAGCTATTCATTAGTCTTCTTTTGCTTTTGAAAGGTACTTAAAAACATTTTACTTTTCTGAATAGGTATTTGGGAAATGCTTGGGGTAGCAGAAAACTTGCGGAAAATAGAAAGTGCTAGCAGCAAGGGTTGTCCGTCTAACAAGTTTTACCATAGAACCCGAAGAAGTGGCATGGAATTTGACTCTGATTGGACCAAGCATAGAAAATCATTGACCTTTACTGCACAAGTCATCAGTTCTTCAACTTCTTTTATCCCTTGGTCTTCTAAGATTGCAATTAGTGAAGGATATCATGAATTTCTTTAGTCAATTGTCAATTTATTCAGTTACTTTGTCAAAAAATTGTGGTTTTAGAAAATTGCTGGTGTTGTAAGTGGAAACAAGAGAGTCACTGCATCAAGTATGTGTTCCACAGATTTGAGCCAGCAAGATAGTCTAGGTTTTGATTCCTTTTTAACTTATAATTATGTGTCTGATGGCCCCATCTTGCCTGGACTGCCAGATGATGTGGCAAAGTATTGCCTTGCACTTGTTCCCCGATCCGATTTTCCTGCTATGGGTGGTGCCTGCAAGCGGTGGAGGTCATTTCTGCGAAGCAAAGAGTTCATCAGCATTAGAAAGCTGGCTGGTCTGCTTGAGGAATGGCTTTATGTCCTGACTGTGAATGCAGAAGGAAGAGAAAGCTACTGGGAGGTTTTCGACTGCTTAGGAAACAAACACCATCAGCTCCCACAGATGCCCGGTCATATAAAGGCTGCTTTTGGAATTGTAGTTCTCAATGGTAAACTTCTTGTTATTGGTGGTCATTCCATGATTGGTGAATCTGGGTCGGTCTCAGCCGACGTTTATCAATACGATTCTTACTTGAACAGGTCTGTCAGTGCTTCTGTTTTTATTTCCTTCTCTTTTTGAGGCGAATGTGCTTCTGTTTTTATTTCCTTCTCTTTTTGAGGCGAATTGGACGCATATTTTCATCTACTGTAAGGTGGGATAATGCATGAGTAGGAGGTCTTGGAGGTGCGGTTCCATATAAGATAATTTAGTTTTCCTCCCCAAAAATAAAGTATCTAGCTGACCCAACCTAGATAGAAATTTCTGAATTTTGTTTTTCATGTTTACATATGAGAAATGTGTTGTTAGTGGTTGTGATTTGGGTTGTTTACCTTGCTATCGTTTTTATAAATATTTATCGCTGATTTTACTTTACTAGCCACTCAACTTCCAAGATATCCCAAATATTTTGCTAACTTCTCTAGATTCTCTCTTGTTTTCATCATTATCAATCACAAGATTTAGGCATGTTCGTTCTTATGCCTTACTGTAATGTAGTTTTCCTTATTTTTGTGTACTTTCAACTGCCCATTTTCCTAGTAGACATGTGCAGGAATGCTTTTGAGATAGCTTCGCCTTTACCACCAATATATAAACACTATCAATCCAAGTGTAATTATCACTAAAAATTTGGTCAGGCGTCTGATTTAAGAGTGCTTCAAATAGTGGAAACCCTTGTCATCTCCTTCTCAGAAATTGTTGAAAGGAAAATAGACATTGTGGATTTAACAATAAAAAATACAAAAATAGAAAAATAGACTTTGTTGATTTACATTATGGATCTGTTGGTTTATTTGCATCCCTGGCCTAAGTAAACTTTACTTGGAATTACTAGGTCAATTGACACCACAACTAGACTGGTCTCTTTTGGAAGTAGTAGCTTCTCTTTTCTCTTCCCACAATTTTCCTTTATTTGTTGGTAGGATGACAGCCTGGCATAAAGACTGTGCGCGCAATTTGATCTGCTGATTTGAACTGAGTTATATTATTTCCTGCTTGCAATCTAAAGGTATAAGAGAACTATCTTTTGATGTTTTGAATGATTCATGTTTCTTTTTTTTCCTTTTATATATCTTGGGCAGGTGGAGCAAAATGGCTAGCATGAACGTGGCACGTTATGATTTTGCTTGTGCTGAGGTGAATGGAATGGTTTATGCAGTTGGTGGTTTTGGGATAGATGGCGAATCTCTTTCTTGTGCTGAGGTTTATGATCCAGATCAAGATAAATGGACTGTGATCGAGAGTCTTCGCAGGCCAAGGTGGGGCTGCTTTGCATGTGGATTTGGGGGAAAGCTTTATATTATGGGTGGTCGATCAAGTTTTACAATTGGGAATTCAAGGTCTGTTGATGTGTATAATCCCAAGAGTCACACTTGGGGCGAGATGAAAAGAGGTTGTGTTATGGTTACCGCTCATGCTGTTCTGGAAAAGAAGCTCTTCTGCATAGAATGGAAGAACCAGCGGAAACTATCCATTTTCAATCCGGAGGACAATTCATGGAAGATGGAGCCAGTTCCAGTGACAGGGAGTTCAAGCATTCGATTCCAGTTTGGCATACTGGATGGGAAGCTTTTACTGTTTTCTCTACAAGGCGATCCTGGTTATAACACCCTGCTATATAATCCTAATGCAGCTTCAGAATCACAGTGGCAGACTTGTGACATAAAGCCATCTGGTGTGTGCCTTTGTACTGTTACAATCAAGGCATAAAAATCAAATTGCAACAAAGAGTTAGACATCAACGCACAAATATCTGTATACTCAAAGTTTCTCTTCAGGTGTGATGATCAGTTCCTCTAAACTATTTCAAAATTTGAACTGCTTCTGAATGACTTGTGTTTTCTCTTGCTCAACTTCAATCTGGTCTCAGACGGCTTCTCCTATAAATATGGCTTTTATCTTCTGTTAAATATGACTGAAACTACATCTTGAAGGATGTTGTACTCCCTAAAAGATATATGCTGTCACCTTGGACATGCTTTTCATGTCGTTACCAATTTGTAAATAAAAAAATAGTTCTTTTGGTATTTGTTCATGTATTTGATCGGGTTCAACCATAATTTTCAATTTTATACTATTGAAAAGCTAATGCAAGAGAACGTTCCTTCTTTTTTTTTTTCTTCTTTAAATAGTATGCTTAAGAAATATCTTTTTCATTTTTCCTATTTTTGAGTTCCAAACAGAATCTTATAGTCTAATTATTTTTATAGTTCAAATTATTGTATACACATCTATGAGGCGTTTGTAGCGACAAATGATTGTCCTAAAACAAATATACAAAGAAGCAATGAATACAGAAGGCTGCTTTGCTGGTTCTTGAGGGTGCTATGTAGTTGAAAGGTGGGAGTTGTAATGCGGAAGGGACAACCTTCAGCATTTCTCAGTAAGGCCTCAGGGCCTAAGCACTAGTTTGTGTAACTGTATGAAAATGAGATGTTTGCTATTGTAACTGCAATCCAGATGTGGTGACCATATTTGATGGGTATACATTTTATTACAAACAGGTCATCAAAGTCTAAATCATATTTTGGAGCAAATGATAGCCTCTCCTAGTCAGTAGAAGTGGGCAGCCAAGTTGATGGGATATGACTATGCCATTGTCTATAAAAAAAGGAAAGAAGATGCAGGGTTGAGCACAAAATTGCACTTTCATTTCCTGGTCACTCCCAACTATTACAGCAGGTTAAAGACTCGTACTAATGACGATATCCAGTACTATCACAATGAATTAGAGGAAAATATTAAAGACTCATCCTTATAATATGACATGATATCCAGCTATCAATAAATTGGAGGAAAATGCAGACTCTAAGCCAGGGTATGAATGGAGAAATGGTTTCTTATACAGGAAAGGTAAGGTAGTGATTAGTAAGTATTGAGCTGAGCTAAAATTAATTTTGATGATTAACAAAGAGTGATTAAAGAACCGGGTCTTTTGAAGATATTTTCGGTGCAATAAACAAGGTTGATGACTTGTCAAGCTGATGTTAAAGAATCAGGTTCCTCGATGAGTTGATCAAGAGCTAGCTGCAAATCGATTCCTAGTGCAAATAGTATTCTTTAGAGGTTTTTTTTTTCGCAAGCTACAGGTATTGTACTAGCCAGAAGAAGTTGTGTTCAACAAGGATTCTATTTATGGGAATACTTGCATAGAAGAAAAGGCGTGTAAAGTTGAAAGTATTTAAGGAAATCAAGTTCAGTTGGGATTATTTTCCTTAACCGATATATTTTAGGTTTTGGAGCAAATATTTGAGAAAATTTTCGGCCCAACTCTATGCCTATATAAAGCATCATGTTGCTGCTATTATTCCTAACACTATTATTCCCATAATATAAAGATATTTTCCATGAATTTTGTCGCTAAAGCATAGCCCTTCGAGTCTGCTTTCAAATGGATTAAACTATTTGTCATTTGGATATTTCTACAAGAAGTTATGATCAAATTGCTAAAGTAAGGCAAACGGAACAAGGAAAGTTTTACTAAGGGTTTATGGTCTTAAATCGCGTCTCGAAATCTCCACTTTTCATTTTGCGTATCAGATATCCACGGATGAGGGTGACATCGTCTAATCATAGTTTCATACTTATAGGAAGGTTTGGAAGTGAGTTGGGGTCTACATCATAGCAAGGTATCGAAGGAGGGTAAGATGGAAAACAAGAAATAGAGAAAGGATGCAACTGAGGGGCTCGTTTGAATTCGTGCGCCGTGCGGGTTTAAGCGAGCCAAGACCCATAGCCATTTCAGCAAACAATGAAGTAATGCCCCAGCACACGAAGTTGAACGAGGGCTCATCCATGTCTGCGCTACGCACAAGGATGGACAAGCTAGGCCTGAAGCCTTTATAAAGGGCATTTTGGTAGCTCACTTCTCCCACTCCTCCCATCAAATTGAGTAATACCCACTAATTTGGTGTTTCATTCCATCAATTTCACCCTAAAACTAACTCAATCCACAATGCAATCATTAGATTTTCAAGGAATCTTCTCAAGAGCTCAAGTGAGGACTTTGCAAGATTTACTCCCAAAACGTAATTCCATCTCCTTGGACTTGTATGAATGGCTTAATAATGAATATATGAGTAGGAATTTAGAAGTAGAACTTGTGGGATGGTGATTGGAAGCAATAAGTTCACCAATTGAAATTTTGAGAATTTGTAGAGAATGAAAAGTGATTTGTTTGATAATTGGTTGGTTGGGAGTGGATGGTAAGACATGAATATGTTGTTGGAGGTCCTAAACTATTTAAGGTTGGTTTTAGTATGAATTGGTTAGGTAAAGAGTGGGTATTGGATAAAGAAATATCATTGATGAAAGTTGTAGAGAAATGTGCATACTAGATGCTTGATATAATGCATAAATGAGCAAAATGTAAAACATCCTTAGTAATATTGGTACAAATGTGTTACATTATTGTATATTGAAGTTGTTTAGTGTGGTGGACCGTCATAGTATCATTAAGGGGCAAGTTCGAGGTATGTTGGTGTTGCTCTCAAACGCACACGCAAGTATACGTGGTCGTACAAGTAATAAATGATAAGTCGAGTGTCCAACCCACTGAGACGTGTGTTAACTACCCACTAGTTTCACCAAGATTATTATTCAGTCAAGTCACTTAGAGTTTAAAGGTGTGATTATACTATGCAATAATTCTAACAAGTAACTAATTTATCAAGCAACAAAATAGTTGTTGTATATTCAGTAGAGACGAATATTTCAAGGTTGTGATCGATTCACCAATCCAATTGTGCTCTAATCAACTCTCCCTTTCATACAATTCACTCATGGTTGCTAATTAATCAAACAATTGCTCTTGTAGTATTCTCCCGAGTTCCTACTCGCCTATTCAAAATAGATTAATGCCTATATTCCTATGAAATCAATCTATTAAGAACGCATTAAGATTACGATATTTAATTAAGCACGGTGACTAGGTATATTCCTATCCTAACCACAAATCCGCCCTCACTCAGAGTTAAGATCATGCTCTCTTCAATTCTTCTCTAATCTAGACGTAGCTTTCCCAAGCATAGCATAGATAGTAAATAGAACGTAACTGTTGGCCAGACAATTAAGCAATTAATCACAGAATTGAAGAAACAACCATATATTGGTGAATTGTAATCAAGGTTAAGTCAACTTTAAACAATAATATATAGCTAAATCACAACCCCAGAACTATGAGTTTTAGCCACTCATGATAATTTCAAAACAAACTCATAAGTGTTGAATAATTGAAAATACTAAGAAAAGATGAAGAAAACTGAGATATCCTCGCTCCCGGATGTTCCGCGTGTGTATTTTTCCTTCAAAGTGGCATCTCCCCTCTCAAAATAGGTTTAGTCTTGCTTTTATACGCGTTGGGTAGGTCTTGGGCCGAAACAACCTTGTCCCGGACGAAGGAGGAGAGTTTTCTCGTCACCAGCGCCCAGGGTAGCGTGGGGTGCTATCCCTGGGAAATTTTTGATTCTGGAAACTGCGCCACAGGTAGCGCCCCACACTGCTTGTGGCGCTACGAATGGCCATTTTTAACTTTTGCTCCTTTTTGGCTCTAATCTCGCACTTTTCGCCCCATATTGTCTCCGGATGATTCCTACATATAAAAGCACCACTAATTGACATAAATCAATACATTTCACATACGAAATCCACGAAACATGAGTAAAATATGATGCGATATACTTATACATACATATATATATATATATATATATATAGAA